AAGACATCAACATACTGTGCAAAGAAAAGCGAATATTCATGACCTTGTTACGGGTCAATAAACACTTTGTCATGCGAATAGTCACATAACACAATCAAAGACAAGAATACTATAATAAGGCTGCGCTCTTAAACACCTACAAATCATTGTAATCGTGTCAAAGATTTAAATAATGCACTTTTCTAACCTTTTACTGCAATAAAAATAAGAAATAAGACCACGGAGAAAACCACGGTATTTCACGCTGAAATCCATGATAACTTCGATGTTGCGTCACGTACGTAGAAAATTGCATCATGGGATACTATTCGATCGTCGTCTGTGTGCCTATAAGATATTTCCCCCCTGCCGTGTTCATTTTGACATATTTGAGCGTATTTTTGGTAGCTCTAAAAACTATGATTTTTTTAAAAATCGATTTGTTTAAAAGGTATTACTTGTGCATGTTAGCGATATCAAAATTAAACCATTCAGTAACTCATATATGAGGGCAGAAAGCCTGAAGGTTTTATACCCTACAAAGTTTCCCTTAAGCTGCATACATGTCAACTTTTTATCCGGTGGCACCTTATTTCAATTATTATTTGGTATGGCGTGCGGGAAGGATAATAACAATCTTAGGAAACTAAATTTCTGTTTATTATTTGCAAACTATTATTTACATTATCTCAAGGTAAACGAAAGGAATCTTGACTGGATTGAATTTACCACAAAAGTGAACTCTGGAGTAAATTACAAGTTAAGAATAGGAAATCAAGTTTTTGGTTCTCTTTAATTTATGATGCTTCTTCGCATTTTGTCCTGTTAATGCTTTTAAAAGGTATTAGATAAATAAAAGGATATGTAGTTTTAAAGAAAAGTGTGATATATTGTTAGACTAATTGTGAGATTAATTAAAGGATGTGAAATTTAAAAAATACATTTATTGCTGTTCCTCGAAAAAAGTCGTTAAAAATCGATTCTTTATAGCAAGTAGGGTAAAGAAGCCACCTTGTACTGTAAGTAGTGTTAATAGCTAGCTCTGTTGTATTGTAAGCAGTATATGTAGCCTTAATTGTACTGTTTTAGTGTAAAATAGCAGCAATAGTATTGTAAAGT